GAAGAGAGAGAGAGAGAGAGAGAGGGTGAGAAAGAAAGAGAGAGAAAGAGAGAGCGATAGGAAGAAAGTGTGCGAAAGAAAAAGAGAGAGAGAGAGAGAGCGATAAGAAGAAAGTGTGCGAAAAGAAAAAAAAGTAAGAAAGAAATGAAGAGAAAAAGAAAAAAAGATTGTCATATTCATTCCTCGCAGTATTCATTTATTTCGTAACGTGCTAAGATATCAATGTCATTCGATGTATGATATGATTCGATATGATATGACGTCATAATGTAAAATTAAATGACGTGTATGACAAATATCGATGATTCATTATATTAATATTATACATTTTATTTTTCTTTTTTTCTTTTTCTTCGCTTCATAAGACAGATTTATGACGACTGATTATTAAATTAAAGCATTAATTAAGAGCGCAACGATAATATTAAATATTATCAACTAAATTTTTTATTTCAATTTCTAGTCTAGTATAAGAAAAATAATATTGAAAAATATAATCGCTAATATTCACTTCAATGTCAATTTCCGTGAGATAAACTTATAAGAGATAAATCTCAATGCGATTTGGATCTTTAAGAATTATCAATGATATTTGCGCATATTTTCACAAAATTTTGTTATTCGTAAAAGTGATTCGTTTTAATTTCATTTTTTTTTTTTTTTTTTTTTTCCTTCGTATCGCGCAGTCGTTCGTAAAAATTGTAATTGCATATTAAATTTTTGTCGTAAGGTCAGGGATAAGAAAAAAACTAGTATCTAATCTTTTTTAACGCTCGCATAATCTCGACTTAAGAGTTCCGTTCACAATGTATCGATATAGTCGACTGAACTGAATAAAATAATGCTCTCGTTGTTATGATAAATACGTATAAATATTCGTGGCAAATTCTTTTTTTTTTTTTTTTTTTTTTTTGCCACTCGATACATTTCACATTGAAACAATATATTCCGTTCTGTCTTATCGCATTCCATTATCATTGTACGACTTTCGAAGGTTTTTTTTTATGCTTATCAACGTTTATATTTTGCTACTTGACTTCATTTCCATATTAACTTTTAAGGCTTTCCACGGTAAAAAAAAAAAAAAATAAATAAAAAATCTTGCGATCGCGTCGTCTTTTAAAAATAACTATTCGACGAAGACTCTTGTTTAAACTCTCTTGTTTAATGTACAAGGCTAAATTTTAAACGATCGAACCAACAGGTGGAACAGGTATGAGGATGCATGTGTGCAAGAATAATATAACGTTGAGTGTCTGTGTGTTGTATACGTGTGTGTGCGTGCGCGCGCGCGTGCACGTGCTTGCGTGTGGTTAAAAATACGAACGTGAATGTCGGCGGGCGGTGGTGTAGCGTGTAAAGAAGAGAAAAGGGAAAAGTTTGGGCGCGGCAATGGTAAACGTTCGATTAATATAAGGGGAAAAGTGAATCGCACGGGGTACGAGAAAAAGTACGACTAGTGTTAGATGCATTTATATTATATTTAACATATGTATATTTATATATACATATATCATACATGGATAATTTTAATAATGACAGGATTAACGTGCGAGCATAAAGAGTGTTTTGTTACGATTGAAATTATTTAAGGAGCGTAAGGAGAGATAGCATGGCGATAACGGATCGACATTGCTTTCCACGATACCGATGAATGGAGTCGGAATCGTAGCCAAGTCGGGAGATATACCGTGTCCAGGGCCATTATAAACGATGTGTATTATAATTAATGTATCAGCAGCAAGCAAAATACACGTATGATATGAAAAATAACGAGTGAAATACTATTTTATGTATTATTACGTGCGACGTAACGGCAACGAGAGGTCGAAAAAAAGAACATTTTGTTACGTTGTTAAACGCTCCCCTCTACATATCCTTCCCCCCCCCCCCTCTCCCGCCCGTTGTTCCATAATTTGCTCGCCGATTATTATTTCTTATAATAACCGAAATAATACCGATAACCATCGATATCATCACAGTGTGCATACGTGCACAATGTTGTGCGCGTATGTACAATACATTGACTCGCATTAACTTCTTAACCGATTCGTCGATTCGTCGAGTCTCGTCGCCGTTTCCCGTCGTTGTTTATAATATATATAGATATGTCGACGATGCAAACTAATAAAGGATAAAACCATTTAAAAACATGTGGCAATCACGAACATTATTCCTGATAAATATTATAAAAACCGTAGGCAAGAAAAACATAGCGATTTAGCAACGTTTACGCGTTTTCGATCATTATGCATTCGGAAACATTCGCACTCCCCTCCCCTTTGTGTCGTTTAGCAACAAGGAACATCGATGATATCGACCCTTAGACAAAACTGTCCTTACTTCATCAAGTGGAATTGCAACTACAACGACAACGACGGAACGTATCCTAGACTCATCGAAGAGAGAAGGCTCGACGAGGCCACGTAGCGTATTCTATTAGCGTTTAAAAAGCGATCGCGCGCGCGCGAAGGAAAATTTATACGAATTACAATTAGCAGCGTTAATACGAAAGTTTGAAGAATCGATGCCGAACACGCACTGTTTCTTAAAACGTATCTTGAAAATATTTGTATGTAAATGAATGACGAAATAATAAAAAGTATACGCTCAATCTATTCTAGAGTAACTTTCCTTTCTCGAGAGATGGACGAGAACAGAAGAGTTAATTTATAGATCGCATTTTTTACGAATACGATCCGATTTCTACGAACCGTGAAACCTCTCCACATCATCATCGTCGTCATCGATGTAAGAAAAAAACCGAGACTCGAACGTTCTCGAGAAATCAATTCGTATTTCGTATTGGATGCGGGTCACCGATAACCGCATCGATCTCCAACTCCGCTACTACTTGCTGATTTTCGATCCGTTTACCGTTATATTATAGCAACGATGCGTCACTAGCTCGTGAAATGACGTAAGAAGGGCGGTAGGGAGGTTTCGCATCGATGGGAGAAAGATAAGCCATACGGGCTGGTTAGAAGGGATCGAGAGAAGGGGAAAGAACGAATGACGCATCGAAAGAGGCAGGATAGCGCGGAGGATATCTAGCATGGCCGATCGCGGTCACGGCGTTTCCGTTCAACGATTAGATGTTTACACGTAGATAGAAACGACTTGCTCGTTAATCGTGTGCGCGCCATGGGTGCGACCATGGGTGTTTCACGCTTCGTTGCGAATCGATAACGCGTAAAGAGTATCGAGTGAGCAGGACGCGCGTCTCGATCGATCTAAGTAGTAGTAGTAGTAGTAATAGTAGTAGAGTAACAGTAATAGTAGTAGTAATAGTAGTAGTACTAGTAGTAGTAGTAGTAGTAGTAGGAACGTAACCGTTCGCCGTACCATTGCCCGACGCGGCGTCGGTGAATCGTCGAAGGAGATCGCCTGGCGCCGGTTATATCGTGCGTTCTCTGGCTAGTTCGATCGCGTTGAGCCGCGCGTACTTCACTCGGACGGTCGGCGGCGTAACGCGACGACGGAAGTTGAGAAAAACGCGGCAAACGAGCTGTGAAACTGACTTGGAACTGGTCAGGCGGGAAAAACCAGGTCACTCATCGTTGGTATCGCGTGGTATCGGTGACTGGAGGAGACGCAAGAAACGAAAGTCGTAAAGGTAAATGCGGCAAAGCGTGGACGCGCTTGCGCCTCACGGAGCACGGACGACCACGCGTTGCGACAACAGAGGAGCGGAAAGGGGGAGAGAGAGAGAAAGAGAGAGAGAGACACGCGGCGCAGTGTGAGATTTTTGGAGGCGACGCGACGTGGGCTGTGAGGGAGCTGCGACGAAGTTGCCGGCAAATAAACGAGAGAGGAAAGAGATGCGATAATTGACTGCGAGTAAACGAATAAGAAAAAGATGCTTCGCGTGCGCACGGCATCGTGTAAAGTGTCTCGCGTGCCGGATCCTAGGTTAAACGTAGTGCTACAGTGTGCGGTAGCTTTGATCGATTTGTTGTTTGGTGCATAATGACACGTGATTGTCGAAAACGAAGAGGAAATTGAAGCTCGTGTATAAGGGAATGCGAATTGGTTGTCTTCGCTCGTTCGTCGGATCGATGGGAAGTCGGTGAAACGAAGTGGTGAATTGCCTCGTTAGTTCTGCAACCCAGTTCGTTCGATTCGTTTCGTAACACGTAATCCTTCGGAGTAAGGAATACACAAGTTGGGAGATTGGGAATCGGTGAATCACTGTTGATAATTTCGCGTGAGAACCACGACCAATATTTGGCACGCTGAAACGTGAATGGATCGACGTACCGCGTGTTTCGCGTCACTCTTGAAGATTGAACGTTTATTAATAAAATAGGTTATTTTTTACCTGCGCTGAAAAACATTACAGAGACGATTGATTTTTTTTTTTTTAATCCTCGCTTTGCTCGGATCCGTTGCACGATGCGAAAAAACGCATTTTTCATTTTGTGCGAAAGATTAAAGATTCGCAAGAATCGAAGATTTATCGATTAGAGACGAATTCGAGCGAACGAGATCGAATAGACGAAGGAGATCGCGCGTTCGTTAGATTCTCGATCTCAGACGATCAGCAGGTTGATCAGCGTCTCAGACTGATAGCTAGCACGAAAGCTGCCACAAATAAAAGATGATACGATGCGAGAATCGCGAGTGATGACGCATTCAAAGACACCGCGCGTGTAAGGGAAGACTCGATCATTGACCGAACACGAAAACAACACTGATAAATTTTCATGCCTTGTATCTCATTTTTTATGTATCGTTTCTTTTTTTCTCTTCCTCTCCTTCCTATTCCGCCCAAGTATGAAATCATCCTTTTGAAATATACTCAACGTTTATATTCTCGTCGATCGAAAATTAATTGCATTGCTCGATCGACGAACAATAATCTCGATCCATAAACGAGAGCATCGACACACACCTCTCTCGATTTAGTTTTAATCCACGTGCGTTCATCGACCGGTCGAGGATTATTTTTTTCAGCGCGAGGAGGCGGGAATGAAATCAAACGCGTTTATGGGTTTAGCAAAGTGGGAATAATTACGATTTTACGATCACACACACGTTCATCGACACAACAATATCGTCACAATTTCAGTTCCAAGATATCAATCGTCGAAGGAATCGAAATTTATCCAAAGGAGAAGAATGATTACTCCGCGATCGTTTCTTTGCAACAGTGCGAATCGCCGATAGATTTCGAAAGAAGGGAGATTTATCTGCATCGAGGAAGCGAATAGAAAAGGTGTGGAGATCGAGCGAAAAGCAAAATCGAGGATCGACGTCGGTAATGAGACAGGGAAAGGAAAACTGTTGAGAGGCGGTCGCGAGACAGGGGCAGTGCCGTATCCTGGGGGCCCAGGGTATGCGCAAGATCTATTAATAAACTTGTAATACGGTAGTAGTGGGGCGCTGTCCGCTAGCGGGTGAAAATAGAAAAGAATGTTTTTGGAATCCAATTGGACTTGGTTGGCCGAACGATGGGGCAATATGGCCGACTTGGCCGAGCGGGTGGACGATCTGATATGCAGTTTCGACTCGGCTGGTGACACGACCATGGATACCTTATCGATGCTCATATTCGGCTGGATGTTGTTCGGATTGATGGTACTGTGCGTCGGCAAATACGTTTACAATCGGTTCGTTTTGAACGGGCTCGCCTCTGGGACAATAGTTACCGCCAAGGACGGCCATATCGTCCACGGTGATAGCGTCGGTGTCAGTGGTGGTGGTGGTGGTGGTGGTGGTGGCGGTGGCGGTGGTGGTGGTAGTGGTGGTGGTGGTGGTGGTACCGGTGGTGGCGGTAGTGGCGGCAAATTGCTTGGCAAGCAAAAAATCGTTTCGGGGACCGGGGCAGGTGGTGGCGGCGCCGGATCGCTTGCTCATCCGGCCGGTGGTGGTGCCGCCGGTCCAACTTCCGGTGTCTCGCCTTACGTCCCACCGACACCCCCTGTCCGCAAACGTCTCACCAGAAAGACGTCCGGCGCTTTGATCAGCCCTGCGAGAAGCAGCAAAAGTTTGCATCTGCCGACGGCGACTGGTGCCGATCCCGATGCTGTCCGCTGGGTCAACGAGGTTATCGTTTGGCTCTACTCCGATCCAGCGATTTTGGACGAGCTGTTGGCCGTTTGGGTCTCGTCCCTCAATCAATTTACCGCCAACTCTGTCGACGAGGTGAGAGGAACCGTCTCTGCAACGTGTAAAATACGTGTAAAATAACAATCTTTTCTTTAGAAAGATTGAATTTCTTTAAAAAAAAAAAAAAAGACGAATCGAAATTTAATCCGCAGCGAACTTTGTACGATCGACAAAGTGTTCGTCGCGTGCTGTGTAAGACAACAACCGGCTAGACTAGATAAGACTACGCAATCTTCTCGCGTAGGTGTTCTTGAGCAACGAAAAGCAAGCCGGCTCAACGCGTTTACGAGTTATTGTCGGACAATTTTACCGACGAGCTCCTAGCTCGAATCAGCTTTTCAAAGCTTAGTCAAATTATACACGAGCTTATATATATATATATATATATATATATATATATATATATATATGTTACTACTTA